CACAACTAGACTGAAGAACAAAAGGACAGCAACTTGTCTGTTCCCCTCCCCCCAATTCCCCAGCACTGTTCCCATCCCCCCAATTCCACAATAAAAATTAAAAAAAAAAAAAAAAGAGATCCAAGAACTGATTCTTGGGATATTGCAATGCTTAGAGACCCAGATAGTGAAATAGAATCAACGAAGGAGACCAAAAAGCATCAGGAAAAAAAACATGAGAACAAAGTGAGAGTGGAATCCAAGAAGCCAAAAGAAGGAAATATTCTGAGGAAGGAGGAAGAGGATTGTCTGTATCAAATATACGAGTTTTTGTACTGGACTCGAGCAGCCAGGCTGTGTTTTCCCCCCAGGAGCTCTTAGCACCTCAGAAAAAGACACAGAGAAGCAGAACTGGATTTCAGCTTATTGTCAGAAAGAAGCTTGAGGGCATGTGGATTGGTTAACTATTGCTCCATAGCAAACCACCCCACAGCTTAACAGTTTAAAACACCCACCATTTATTTAGCTCATGATTTTTAATGGGTCAGCAGTTTAGGCTGCGTTCAGCTGGGTGGTGGTTCTGGTCTGAGCTAGGCTTGGCTAATCTCAGCTGGGTTCACTCAGGCCTATGTTGTCAGGTGGTAGTCAAATGGACTGGCTTGTTGATGATAGCCTTGTCTGGGGTGGCCATGTAACTGGGGCCTCTTGGCACATGGTCTCATCCTCCAGCAGGCAAGCCCTGGCTTTCTCAGAAGGCGGTTACAGGGTTTCAAGAGCAGCAAGAGAACAAGCCCCAAAGTGCAAGCACTGCTCAAGTCTTTGCTGTGTCACATTTGCGACGGCCCTATTGGCCAAAGCAAGATGCATCATCAAGTCCAGAGCCATTGTGGAAAGGGGACTACCCAAGCTTGGGCACAGGGAGATATGAACAAATTGGGACCATTACTACAACAGTCTACCCCAGCAAGGGAGAGCATTAGCAAGGCAAAATTGAAACATACAGAGAAATATATAGCTATTCCTGCAATAGGTGATTTATCTGCGTTGACTAGCAAAAATAGTATTGCCTACTCGGTAACTATTCTCACTTTTTGCCAAATACAATAAAAGCATGTTTACAGCTTATTTATCACCTATCTACAGGACACTAAAAAGATATAAATAGAATTGCTAAAATTAGAGTATTAACATAGCACTGCCAGGAAGAATAAAAATTCTTTTCCACCCATTCTAGTTAACTTATGTAAAGATTTCTTTAAAAAAAATTTTTTAGAACAAACATTTCTTCTTTTTTTAAATTTTATTTATTTATTTAAAAAAAATTTTATTGGGGGACAACCATGGTCATTGGCCACACAATGCCCCCATGCTGACTCCTCCAGGGAGGGCGCAGCTTACAGTGGCCCATTCGGGGATCGATCCAGCAACTTTGGTGCCATTAGCATCATGCTCTAACCAACTGAACTAACTGGTCACCCCCCCCCCTTTTTTTTTTAAAGATTTTGTTTCAAGCACTTCTTCTTGAATTACCAAGAAGTCTACTCTTGCTAACCAAATTCAATTACTTATGCCCATATTTTCCCAAACTACATCCTTTATATTACTAGTTTTATGGAAGATTAAACAAGGTGATTTTTTTTGAGATTTTATTAGGGAATTGGGGAAGGGGAACAGCCAAGTTGTTGTCCTTCAATCTTAGTTGTGGAGGGCGCAGCTAGCTCAGCTCCAAGTCCAGTCACCATCTGGCTGCCCATCAGCAACTCATAGCCGCTCAGCTCAAGGTGCTGTGTTCAAACTTAGTTGCAAGTGGGCATAGCCCACCATCCCATGCAGGAGTCGAACCAGCAACCTTGTTGTTAGGAGCATGTGCTCTCACTACCTAAGCCATCCTGCCACCTGCTGGCAGCTCAGTGGCAGCTCAGCTCGGGCACGGCTCACTGGCCCATGTGGGAATCAAACCAGTGATTCTGTTGCTCAGAGATCACACTCTTAACCAACTGAGCCACTTGGCCAGCCCAAGACGAGTATCTTAATGACAGAACCTATCAGAGCCTTTGATATGCTAATGTTTCTTAGGGCTATACAAAGAAGGAATATAGTAAACACCGTTTCCCAGACTCACTCTTGTCTGTAGAACTTTGGCCAGGAACATTTTATTTGACCCCAGTGTTCTGTGGACCACTCTTGGCAGACGCTGCCTTACCTCATGGCTGTGAGTGGGTGCTTCTCATTGTTCATGGTTTTAGGGTGCTAAAGTACATGCAAGTGTACAGAATTGAGAGTTCTAAATTCCCCGAGGATGATGAGGGAGAAGGGAGGAGGAAGGGCAGCATTCACCAGGATACACAGCTTCCCATTAGGTTCTGAATTTGGACATTTGACAGTAGAAGAACAAGGGTTTGATGAGGTCTCTGGATATCTGCCTCCTGGGTGTCTCCCACAAAGGGAAGGCGATTGGTCTTTACGCTCAGCCTACCCACAGGATAGCACGACCTGAAGCCCGAAGAGCACGAACCTCAACAGAGGCTGTCAAGAGCCCATTTTCCCACGGGGTCCCAGAAGACCAGAGTCTGCCCCGATGGAAGGCAAGAAAGCCCTGGCTTGCCCTGTGTAAAGACTTGCCTTGTCTGGGGCGTTGTATTATAGAAGACGAGAGCCCCTACCTGCTTGGGGAGCTCTGGCTTCCGGGGCTGATTTGCCACCTCCCAACTCTGCCCTGGACAGAACACTTCACCTCCTTGAGTTTCCCATTTCTCACTTGCTAAACGAGAGTGACAATCCCCAAATCCGTGGATTGTCATAATGACTCATGAACAGTTTTGAAAGCATTCAGCATTGTCCTTGGCACATAGTAGGTGCTCCTGATGCGGAGCTGTTGGAGAGCATGGATGGTAAGCTCTATGTACCTGTATGCCTGGCACAATGCCCAGCACAGAGCTGATGCACATAAACTGTTTCCTGAGTGAATGAATAGCTCAAATTGGTAGTTTCAAATGTAAGCCGTTATCAGTTAGCACAGGTAAAGAAAGTGTGTGTGTGTGTGTGTGTGTGCATGTGTGTGTGACAGTGAAGAATTCAATGATGGAGTGGCTTAGTCTTTAGTAATCAAGGTATATTCTGTAAAGAGAATAGCCAAAGAGAACTGTGATCCACGCAAGTCCCTGAAGATGCTATGTGAATCAAATACTCAGCAACACTATCCAAAGTGCTATCTTTGAAAAGGAGCATGCTTAAAACACCATCGCCACCGTTTCCATAGTCACTGGTGGTTAATGAAAAATAGATGGGAACTGAGGGCTATTCTCATTGAACTTCTCTGCAGAGCAAAGCGCCAGTAAATGCACTTCAGAACAACCAGCTACTTAACCCACACTATAGTATGATGTGTGCTTTTTGTTTCTTTTCCTGTATCATTTCTTCTTTGTGGATAAAACCAGAAGGAAAGACTACAGACATAAACTGTGCAAATAAAATAACCTTGAGAGGAGGCTGCTCTAGTCGAAACTTACCATCTCCCTGTTGCTATGGTTACCTCCAGCAGGTCGCCCAGTGAGAATGGCTCTGTCATCAGCAACGAATCAGGGAAGCCCAGCTCAGGGAGGCGCTCGCCCCAGAATGTAATGGCACAGCAGAAAGTGACAAAGGAGGAGGCACGGAAGAGAAATGGTGAGAAGCCTTCCCTGCCAAGCACCACCCCCAAGCCCGTCCCACACATGCGTGGACACGGGCATGCACACACTTACACACAATAGTGTGCTTTAACCTTTAGTTCTTCATTCTATTGTGTCCTGCAAAGGCCAAGAGTCAGTTTCTTACCTACCTACTGGGATATCGCCTTACCCCTTTCTCTGAATTATTCTGTCTCATGCTTCCTGTCCCCTGTTCTCATGGACTTGTGCAGGGTCTTGGAAAACTCCATGCAGAATGAACTGATATTTGCTTAGTGATTTTTCTAATTCTTGGGTGAATCGACATTTCTAGCACCAGGTCCTCTAGGGTGACAGGTCTCTGAAATGCTGCTTGTCTTGGAGATTGCCCCATTTTCTTGCTCTGACTCCCTTGATAAGTTTCAGGGGTTCAGTCTATGCCAATGAGTCCAGATACTGCAAATCCACCTCTCTCAGGAAAAACAGCATGGAAATAAATCTATCATCATGAAAGTCAGCCCATGCTTCTGCCTTTATTCTCCAGGGAAACTTAACTGTTGAGTGTCTTTCTCAAACAGATCTTCTCCCTCCTTAAAAAGGTTTGATGTTGGGGTTTATTTACAAGTCATCGGAGCTACCCGACTGTGCTGTGACACCATCTACAGATCACATCTGTCGAACACCATCATGCAGCCTCCCTCTCCTCCTGACCCCACCTTTGTTCTGACCCTCCTCTCCACTTCGGTCTTTCCACTTGTGATGCTGGATTACTGGATCCCAGATATAAGTACCCGGTGCTGCCACTCAGATCAGGGAAAATTCCTTTTGAATTTCAAAGGATTGTAGGTGGGAGTCTACCAAAATACCAGGTGAAAAGCCAAACAACCTGGCACTCTGGTTACCTGTGCTTCCTTTTCAAAGGACTTTGATGAAGTGTGGTTCAGGGACTGTCGCTTAAAACTAGTGCCAGAATATTCTTTTGTTTTCAAATGTCACTTACTTATTTTTTTTTCTGACCAAAGAAAGAAAAGAAGTAATGCCACATGGGCTTGTCTTCCGCAGAGAAAATGTGGTCCCTGGTCCCAGCCTTTATATAAAATATTTGTTTAAACTGTCATACTGATTTGCTGCTTGAGGTTTTGTTTTTCTTCTGAATTCATCATGCTGTATGTAACAGGGCTGCACTTCTCGCACCAGAATCAGGATGTGAAATGTGGGGTGTTCCTGGGAATATCTGCCCTCCCTGGGACCCCCAGAAATCCTGCCCATCAGCTCCCTGCCAAGCCAGCTCACGGAGGGCGAGTGGAGCTCTGATTTGTGAAGCGAGCTGTGAACTTAGCGACTTTCTTCTCTTCCTTCCCAGAGTGAGGTGCTAAGAGAGATGACCAGAGGGAGGGAGGTGACACAGAGAGAACGGACAGTGAGGACAGAGGGGAAGGTGGTTTTAACTAAGGGCTACAACTGCCGTCGCCCCCTAACCAAGATGCCCTCCCTGCTTCTACTCCTCTCTCCCCACTCCTCCCTGCCTGCCTTTCTTTATAGTCTTCCTGGAAATATATAAAGTTAAGTCCAAGTCCGCCCTCCCCCAGGTGCCCTGTCACCCAACCCAGTGCTCAAATGACGTTTAATAACTCAGTGTATGCCTTATTATGCACATGACAAGACACACTTATCTTTGTTTCTTGTTCTATTGCTTTGTTTTATTTTATAAAATGGGATCAATGTACACATTGTTCTGTGCCCTTTTTCTTGCATAAAAATGTGCAGAATGAAGACTCCTCTGTCAGTAAATATGCATTTACAAGATGATGCCTTTCCCTCACCCCTGCTTTTAATTGGTAGAAGACAGGGGAGCAGGGCCAGTTTCAGGCCCTATTAGTCCCCACCCCAGCTGGTTAAGACATTGATCTGCTCTAAATGCTCCTGACTACCTTCCCCATTCTTGTTTTTCTACCCTCTCTACCTTCTTCTTTATTCGTTAGGTCACTTTGGTTATTTAAATAGCAGGGTTAGAAATAACAGCGGGGGGCATGAATAAAATGCAATTACTGTACCAGGTGGAGGTTTTAATGTGTTGGTTTTTTTATTACTAGAAATGCCATCCTTTCTCCAGGTTCCCAGTACTTAGTTGCATTTTATTTTTGCCAAAAGTAAACCCAGTGAATTTGCAAGGCTGGTTGCATCTGTTTCACTACAAGTTCCCCTTTGGTGAGGTTTCAGTTTGAAATTTTCAAATAGAAATGATAGGACCAGCTCGTTCGATGTTAACAGATACCGAAGCACATCAGAATTCTAAGATAGACCTTAAATGGAACCTACGCTTGTCCTTTTTTTTTTTTTTTTATCAAAGAGCTCCACTGTATCCTAATGCTAGGTTAGGGTTCACCAAAAAAGTCCATAGTGGTGTTTTATTGGATTGGAATATGAATGGGAGGGAAGGAGGGAGGGAGAATGCAATTGTGGAGAAGACAAAAAGGTATCATTTCATCACATTGTCAGCTTGCAAAAAGTGCTTTGCTGTGTGACTGTGGCCTCTGAGAATAGATTCTCTTGGTACGGGACATTCAGATACTGATGTTTATGGCTCAGTATCCATTCTATAAGTCTGGGTTACTTAGGTTAATTCATAAATGTTAAAGTACCAGGCTGCCATTCTAAAACTGTTCTTGTTTTCCACCAATTTTGTGGTGTGTGTAGCTTCTAATCTTTTACTTTTGTGAAAATAAGAACTTTAAAGGGGAAAGACGCTATCCCGCTAGCAACATGGCTGGCGTGGGTCCTTGCAGCTCAATGGCCTCGTCAGTTACCATAGCTGCAAGGCAATTTTAGAGTCTGTTTGAAGACTATGTTTAAATATAAGTGGGAAAGATAGATGTGAGAGCTAGGATTTTGAAAGCAAAACGATTTGCAGGGTTTTTTCCACCAAATACACACATTTCAGCCTCTGAACTAAAACCACTGTCGCCTTAGAAAGAGTGTTTTCCAGGAATAGAGTTAAAAATGAGTTCCAGATCAGAACATAATATAGGTATTTGCATCTTCAGTCATTTAAGAGCAAAATCTTCTGTAAACCCTTAAGTGTGCTCCTTCCTTTAAGCTCCTTCCTTTAAGAGATTTCACTGTCAAGGCTCAGAATCCAATCGGTCCTTGCCTCCTAATAGTCATGGGGCATGTGGGGCCGGAGGAGGACAAGAATCAGACAGTTTAGAGCACCCTTGAGAATTTGTGAGCTATTAGCTCAGAAGCATAGCTTCGGTTTTAATTCTTTCTTTGACTTCCCAATGAGACAAAGCCTTACTTATTATCTGATAAACAACACCAGAAGGCAGTGATGCTAGTTATACGTTATTTGTCTCTGAGCTTTAATGAAAATTCCAGAAAGAAAGAGCATGCTTTGTTTAAGAGCATTTTTTGCCTTAAATGAGAGGGCTCCCCCAATGCCAATTCAAACATGAAGAAATGAAACTTCCCTTCCCAGCCTGATCTATAGAAGTTCAAACCAACAGAACAAATAAGATAGAACTAGATCCAGGCTGGTTGTTTCGTAGCACTGTGATGATGTGGTAGTATCTAGGACACTTCCTCAGTTTAACTGTGGCCCTTTTGTTTAGCATTCTCTCATGCTTTTTTCATTAGGGACTAATTATGCATTAAATGTTCCCATGAACCTGCTATAACCACACAACATTTTAATGTATTAATATTTAATGCAATACTTTTTAATGTATTTTTTCCATACAGTCTTCGGGGGGGGGGATAACTAATTAGTTTCTCTTAAACCTAGAGGAATTATTTTGCAAATCTGAACATGACTTTTTTGAGAGTGAGGATGAAAAGGAACTGTCGTTTGTACAGTTTCCAGTGTCCTTTTTCTGTCTCACCAGGGTTCTACTTCTCCCCTTATCCTGTCTGTGGGGCAGGAAGCAACCCAGAAGCAATCAAAATGCTAAGTACCATCTCTTCACCCTCTGAACAGTTTAGTAGTGATAGCATGACTTTCATTTCTACATGTTTACCTGTTCCACAGGTATTAACATCTCCTTTTCAAGCCAGGAAATTTTAGCCATTCCTTTATTCATTCCTTTGTCCAACAAATCCTATTGCAAGCCCATTACATCTGAGACATTCATTATTAAAGGCAATAGGCATCACCTTTAAAAAGATGGGCAAGCATGGAGCTTATATTCTAGAGGCAGGGGTGGGGACAGGTGAAGTTGGTACAACAACTCAATAGTGGTAAGTGCTATGAAGAGAATATCACAGGGTGATGGGGCAGGCTCTTTTAGATTGGTGGATAGGGAAAGTCTTTCTCAAGCTGCAACTTATCAAATAAGATGGAACTAGACATGTAAAGATCTGGGGAAAGAGCTTTCCAGCAGAGGGAAAAGCTCAAGCAAAATCCCGGAGCTGGGAATAGGCTTGATGTGTTCAAGGCTATTTTAACTGGAGCCGAGTGGGGAAGGGGAGACGCAGGAAGTGAGCTCAGCAAGGTGGCCAGGACCGGATTGTATCGGACCTTGTCAGCCACACTAAAGACCCTGGATTTTATTTTTAAATACGTGAACCCTTCAGAGGATTCTGATCAGAGGAGTGCTGTCCTCTGGTTACCTTTTGAAAGATAATCCATCCTGGCTGCTGGTAGAGTTTGCATTTTAGGGGTAGGAGGACCATAGTAGAAGCTTGGAGGAGGGAGGTTGTTTAGGAGGTGTATTAGTTACTTATCGCCGCATAACAAATTACCCCGACACCTAGTGACCAAAAGCAACAATCTTCACTTATTATGTCACGTAATGTCTGTGGTTCAGAAATTCAAGAGTGGCTTAGCTGGGTGGTTCTGGCTCAGCGTATCTCATGAGGTTGCAGTCAAGATGTTGGCCTAGGCTGTAGTTATCCAAAGGCTCTGCTGGGCCAGCAGAAGCCGCTTACTAGATGGCTCACTCACAGCTTTTGGCAGGAGTCAGTTTCTTGCCACATGGACCTCTCCACAGGGCTGCTTGAGTGTCCTCACAACATGGCAGCTGGCTTTCCCCAGAGTAAGTGATCTAAGAGAGAGCAAGGTGGAAGCCACAATGTTTTTTTAATGACCGAGCCTTGGAAGTAACACACTGTCGTTTCTGCAATTTCCTTTTTAGTTACATAGGTCAGTCCTATTCATTGTGGCTATGAATAGCAGGAGGCAAGAGTTACTGGGCACCATCTTGGAGGCTGGCTACTATAGATGGCTTTCCTAGCAGTTGTCCAGGTGGAAGATAAAGGCAAAATTTGCCCAGCAAAACTCTACTCTAAAAAGACATATGCAACAGTAACATGTCTAAATAGAGATTTTCTTCTGTCATTGGCTGCTTGGTGGCCTGCGATTTGCAATTAAGTCCACAGAACCAAAAGACACTTCAATTCTAGCCCATTGTTAGACTCTGAGGTGTTTTAGCCACATTGTAGAAGAACAGTTTACTCGGCTTGATTTGACAAATCTCTTGTGATTATGATAAGTGGCAGAATGATACAAATTGTGTGTTTTTCAATAATTTAAATAACATTCCAATCTCTTGAGCAGACAGGAGAAAAGATGAATATACTTCTATTACATTCATATTTTTATAATACCTATTTTGCTCCTAAATTGCATACTGGTTTAGTTGTTTGAACAGGCTTAATTTATCTCTTGCCAAGCCATGCTCAATAAACTGTCATTCTTATAGTCCGTTAATCAGAATATGCTATAAGAACTGTAAATCAGCAAGATACGACTGGCCCTAGAACTTCTTCTGTCAGTTTAGTTATGGAAGCGCAGGGTAGGCTGGTGTCTTCCAGCAACCACAGTAAAATTATCTGTCAGGCAAGAATTAATTTAAAAGAACGTAGGTGAAAAGTGCTCTATTTAATTAGGGGAGTTGTCTGTAGCTTTAAATTAGTTTCTCTGTTGGTTGTTTCTTAGCTTTCTTTTGTTCTAGATGAATGAAAGAAACCAAAACCCAAATCACTGGAAAAGCAGCCTTTACAAAGAAAAAAAAAGTGCCAGCAGCAATTACTGTGGCTGGTTGACCAGGGAAGACTGTTGTTACCTTAATGTCATGCAAAAATGGGTAGTTTTGGTGGCAGAGACTGAACTGAATGCTGTTATTTTGTTGATTATCATATTATAAGAATATTCCAAGTTTTGGCCAAATTGTGTCTTTCCCATCTCTGACTCAAGTATAGAGAAAAAATTTACTTTTTTAAAAAAAAGTACTTTGTCACAATTTTGAAAGACTGGTTCTCACTGTTGAAATTCAGTAAACATTTACTGTTTAAAGGTTTTTACCTTTAAAATTCTTTCCTACCAATTGATAATGCAGTGGATGGATGCGTAGTGCAGATCTTGAATTTAAAAGAAATACACCAGCAGCAGCGAGCCCTTGGCACAAAACCAGAGGCTGTTGTTCCCGAGGTCATTGTGAGTAAAACAACGTCCTTAGGCTGTGAGTGTCACACATAAATTCCCCCATGATCGTGCAAGCTCCCCTACAACCATAAAATCGATGTGTTTATTTGTGTCTTAGTGCCAGCGAGTGATGAAGAGGAAGGAGCAGTTCTTTTTGACAGCTCTGGCAAGGCGGCTGCTGATCCCTTTGACACATCTTCTGGATCTGTGCAGCTCATCGCTATAAAACCCACAGCCCTCCCCGTGGTGCATCCCACCTCAGACAGAAGCCAGGAGTCGGCAGTCCTCAACGGGGAGGTGAGCACCAGAGGGCCCGGAGCTGGAGAAAGCCAGTAGCAACAACTGGGAATGCCGGGGGCAGCTTCCGTCCACGTGTACAGGGCTCTGTCAGTCATTTTTACCTCTGCATGTGCTGGCCTCAGCAGAATGAGTCAGGATGCAAGTGACCCCAAAACAAGCTTGTTGGGTGATGTTTTCAGAGCATTTTTTACCTTCATTAGAAAGCCCAGAGGGGACTTTTTAAAAACTGTAGTTATGAAGAGAAACTTTGGAAATTCTTCCCCACCCCTTACACATGCACACAGCCTTTTACTTTCCTGATAACACTCCTAAACCGTTCATTATGGGATGTCAGTGGTAGTGAAGATGAGAGGGGCTCGAACTGAGAGGGAACTAGAGAAGGTATTGCCATTCGAAAGGGATGTGGCCCACGATATAAGCTTTGAAATGAATTCTACTCCTTCGAGCAAGCTTCAAACGACCGTTTACCTGCTTCCAGAAGGATCTCTATGAATATCATGACGGTAATCAATTTTCCTAAGAGTCTGAAAAAAATTTGTAACACACGGCAAAGAATAATGATTTCACCAAAGAAACGTGGATGAATGGATGATGGATGGATGGGTGGATAATGGATGGATGGATAGATAGATGGATAGATAGATAGATAGATAGATAGATAGATAGATAGATAGAGGCAGTTTAGGGGAGAGCAAGTCAGATAAAAATTATCTGCCATTCCTCCATCTTCTGCAGCAGAATGGTGAGTCGGCTGAAGATGTTTATTTACCTTTAAGAACACGCATATGGAACCTGTGTGTGAACATTTACATTACACATGTGTGCACACACACATACTTAAAGAAACTGAAGCCAGAGGGGTCAAGTGGCCTGTTAAAATCATGCTGCAGGTTACTGTAACAGCCATTATGTTCAGGTCCCCTGGCTCCCTGTCCAGTGCTCTTTCTCTCTCTTTGATTTACTGTGGCCCATCAATGAAAAACAGCACTGTGCTTAAAAGAATATGAACTCACAAGACATGCTATAAGTATTGGAATCCCAGCTCTTCTCCTTACTATCTGTGTGACTTTAGGCAGGTTAGTTCGTGTCTCTGTGCCTCAGTCTCTCCATCCGTAAAATGGGGCTGTTGTGAGAAGCAAATGAGTTAACAGTGTCTAGCACTCAATAATCACGTTATTATCATCATCATCATCATCAATTAGTCTGCCAATGAGCAAGGATTCATTGATCATGTACTTTATGCCCCTTGGTTCTATCATTTAGGAACCTGGATATCATCTTCTCAAAGCCAATCACGCCCACTGAATCTTTCCTTAGGCTCAGTTCTGCCTCCAGACACGTAAGCCAAGTTATTAGAGCCTCTGAGGTTGTCGTTAATGCTCTGGTAACTGCCCTTGATTAAGACTCTCTGCCCAGTTATGGACTCAGGTAACAGCCGCCATGTCTGGATCTTTTCATCCCAGCTTAGTGATATAAATGTCACAGGGACAAATGCCAAATCGCAACTAAATCCAATGTACCACTCCCTTTACCTGCCAGACCCATCACCCTGTCACAGGAGGAAAACAGATGAGCATTTTCCCTATCCAGAAATTGATACTTGTTCATTTTGGTCGTTAAAGGAATGGGCCTTGCTGGCATTAGGTTTGGAAAAGAGCCCTGAACTGTTCTCTGTAATTGGCTGTCTTGTGCAGTTTAGAAAGTCTTACAACTTTCTTCTTCTCTTTTGAGTGGCTTCTTTAAGCAAAGAAAGCACAGTCCCAAAGCCATAAATCTTTCTTTTATGTATCACAGGAAATTATTGTAAGATTATTCTAAAGAAAACATAATAACAACATAGAAAGTTCAGAGAATAAGAGAAACATCACTGTAACTTTCCTGCCCTCTAGCATATCCTCTGTTTTCATTTTTGCACCTTCTCTTCAAGTTTTTTTTATCAAACTTGTGTATATTTTAGAATGTCATCATACACAGACAACTTTGTATCTTGTATCTTACGCATTTGCTGGGTTGCTGTTGTCTTTCTGGTTATCATTTATGACTTAGTTGAGAAGGCATACCATTGACTAGAAAGCTCATCTCCCATTTTTCAAACCTTCCAGGTGTTTTTTGTCGTTAGTTTTGGTTTTGGTTATTATAAATAACATTGCAATGAATAATTTCATGCATGACTTTTTTTTTTGATTGAGGTTATGCATTTTTGGCATAGCTGCAGGAGTGATGTGCCCTTTTGTTATCATCGTGTCAGGAAGTAATTGATATTGATATGTCTGATTAGTGATGTTAACTTTCATCCCTGAATTTGAACCTCTTGTGGAATGCTGCTTTAGGAGAGATTCCAGAAATGGGATTCTTGTCTCAGAGGATGTCACACTAGCTTCTTCTCTACTAGTTTTCTCGGTAGCAAGCAGGATGAGGGGACAATTAAGACTTATGAAATGCAACCAGCCTAAAAACATCATTAGGGCCCAGGTTAGGGAGATCTTTGCAAAAGTTAGAAAAAAAATGTGTCCCCTGTTTATGTTTCTTCAAATGCTGTAAAAATAAAACATCTAAGATACAGCTTTGTGTTAGGGAACCTTGGGCCTCAGACTCTAAGCAGATACATGTCTTACCAACTGGGTGAATTTTCCTTTTATGAATTACAGGAATCTTTCCCAAAGATTATTTTAAGGAAAACATAACAATAATACTATATATGGTTATATTAATATAGTTAAGTCTGGTTACAAACAGCACTAATGGTTCCTCATATCATCCAATAAGTGTCAGGCAGATTTCACCATTCAGCTCCATTCGTGGGTGGAACAGCGTCATCATTTGTTATTTATTTAGCATAGTCACCTGCTTGTAACTTTGACAGGTCAGAAGGTATTTTGGCCACATTTCTTTCTATAAGAACAGACTGGCTTTGCCCTATAGAGTAGGAGCTGGTTGGCATTAGTGGCCATAAAAATGTGACTTCAAAATTTCTTCTCTCAACCAAAAATATAGACTAAAAAAAATAAGCTCTCAAATGCAGGTTGATAGAGGAGACACCTTGAGAGCAAGATATCTGCTCCCCCATCCCACCCCATTCATCCCAACTCAACCTCTTCAGAAACTGACCGTCTCATCCAGCTGGGTACCAGCTAACTGGCCAAGGGAGGCCATTGGGTTCCTCGGAACTGGAGCTAGAGTCAGGGCACCCAGATCTGGCTGCCAAGTCAGAGGCTCCCATACAGGGGAGCCATACGGGTTTAGGCGGGATTAAGGCCCATACTAAAAAACTAAAAGCATGGATTCAGACCTAGGCCTGAGCAGACTCAGGTGGGCTAAGGAGAAGGGGGCCCTGATGGAAGGTCTCAGGCAACTGAGGAGGTGCCAGACTCCACGTTCTTTGTGGCCCACTGTTACGTGGGCTGGTCTTGGAATGGATCACAGGTGGGTATGGCTGGTTCAAAGGACCAGACATGAAGCTTAGGACACGTTTTCCTGGAGTGGTGACCCTCTGATAAGAGCCTCCCATCTGTTGGCTGCACTGGGTGAGGTGTGCGCCTGAGACTGTCTCTCTCCCCAGGTGAACAAAGCCCTGAAGCAGAAGTCAGACATCGAGCACTATCGGAATAAGCTGCGCCTGAAAGCCAAGCGGAAGGGATATTACGATTTCCCCGTAGTGGAGACAAACAAGGCTCAGACGGAAAGAAAAAAGATGTATGAAAAAGCCCAAAAGGAAATCGAGCATGTGTTGGATCCAGACCCAGAACTGTGTGCCCCATTTGCTGAATCTAAAAACAGGTGCGGTGTCTAAGGGATGCTCTGAAGGCCGCTGCACCATTGGTGGGATGAGGGCAGAGGATGCAATACAGCCCTGGTCCCTTGGTGTGTTACCTTAGGGCTCCGATTTGCAGGCTGCTGACCGGTCCATGCTGGTCTATGCAAGCAGGTGCTCCATAATGAGCCTGGAAGAGAATAAAATTAAAGCCGTTAAAAAAATACTCAGGCAAACAGCTATAATTGTCCTTTAGCTTAATGATATTTTCAAACCACGGCTGTTTCAGAGCTGGGTGAAGATATAATTACCACCTACCTGTTTATTCAACTTCCAGATCAAGGGACATTGTATTTTTCAATTCTTTTAGTAGCGCTTGCATAAGAAAAGCAAATTTCATGCCTCACCTTTTCATTCAGCTTCAGTAAGTATTTATTTACCACATAGCTACTCAGATCTCCATGCTGCATTCATCCCTTTAATTCATAGATTTGTTCATATATTCAATGTTTATTGTCACCTACTATATATTAATATCAGCCACGATGCAAGATGCTAAATACTGTCATGGTCATCTGTGCTCTTTTTCATTTATTCATTCAACTCAACATTTTATGGAGGACAAGGCAGCCTAATTGCTATTCTTATGGAACTTAAGGTCTAATGGGAGAGAAAGAAAACCACCCCAAAAGTTTATTACTCACAAGTGTGATGGGTATTTGAAATGAGAGGTGCCATTACAGAGGACCTGGCCTAGTCAGGGAGGGTTAGGTATAGTGGTTTGAATTGGCATCCTTCTAAGCAGAGAATAACCTTACCTAATGGGTAAAGAAATAGAGGTGATTAACAAAGCTATACATGCCCATCTTTCTTCTTTTCCTCCCCACCCTGAAGCATTTCCTCAGAAGCATTTTCATGATTCAAGACCGTCCCTTTCAAATACACCATCTCCTTGGCGACAGCATGCTCACAGTCTGACCCACCCCATAGCCTTGGCACACTCACTCTCCATGAACTGGGTGGGACAGGGCAGTTCCTGGCCCGAGTGGGTATTTATTAAAAGTAAAAATGACTATGTGACAGGCTTGGATGGAAGCCACAAAATCAAGCTGGGAGGTAACGGTAAATTTTATGAATGGAACAAACATAATTTATGTTCAATGAACAAAAGAGGAAATTCTAAAGCAGTGCTTCGTTTGCCATACTTCTCATTAGGCTTGGTGGGTATAACAAGCTACTGATGTAAAATTGTGAGAAGGATCACAATGCATGTGTCACCGTGTTGGTAAGTGTAGAAAAAAACAGAAGAAAAGATGGATTTTATGGGGAGGCTAGGGGTTTCTTTAGCTTTTACTTTGCACTTTAAGGCTTTTTACTTCAGCAGTCTTTTATAGACTGGTGCCAAGAAGTTGTTTCTTGGTTTTTCTTTTGTTTTTTGGGGGGGGGTTGGTTTTTTGGTTTCCTGCCAACACTCGGAAAATTCAGAAAATGAATCAAAGATCATGTGCAAATAAGAGGAACTTATCTTGAAAGCTATTTGAAAAATAAATATTTCAGTTGAGGCTTTTTATAAGAATGAACAAAACTTTTTTCTGCAGCGGTGTACCTCCACTGCCTAGCATTGGTTTGGGCCATATTCATTTTTTTTTTTAAGATTTTATTGGGGAATCGGGGAAGGGGAACAAAGTTGCTATCTTTTTTTTTTTTTTAAAGATTTTTATTGGGGAATTGGGGGGCTGGGAACAATGATGGGGAATTGGGGAAGGGGAACAGACAAGTTGCTATCGTTTTTTTTGTTCTTCAGTCTAGTTATGGAGGATGTTGCTTCACTGGCCCAAGTTGGCACCATCATTGCACTCTTCCCGGTGAGGCAGATCAGTCGCCAGCTTCTGGACGGCCACTCACAGCGGCTGCTGGCCGCTCACGCTGGCTGCTGGCTACACACGGTAGCCCATGGCAACCCACTGCCACAGGGGCTGCATCCTACACTGTCGCCGGCGACTCACAGCAGCCCAGCTCCAGGTTGAGCTTTTGTTCAGCATCTTAACTGTAGAGGGCAGTGTCACTGGCCCTCATATGTGGGATCTGAACCGGGGCCCTCTGGCGTCCCAAGCCAGTTCTTAACCATCGCGCCACTTGGCCGGCCCAAAGTTGCTGTCTTTTTGTTCTTTAGTCTGGTTGAGCACATTGCTTCACTGGCCCATGTTGGTGTTATCATTGCACTCTTCCCAGCTGAGGCAGTTGCTCGCCGGCCATTGGACAACCAATCCCTCACGGTGGCTAACGGCAGCTCATGCCAGCTGCTGGCCACTCAGGCTGGCTGCCAGCCACACACGGTAGCTCACGGCAGCCCACTAAAGCCCTGCTGCAGACTATACTGTCGCCGGTGACTCATGTCAGCCCAGCTCCAGGTCGAGCTGTTGTTCATCATCTTAGTTGTAGAGGGCACAGCATCACTGGCCCTCATGTGGGATCCAAACTGCGGCCCTGCTGCTCAGACCTGCTATCCCAAGCCAGCTCTTAACCAACGAGCCACTCAGTTGGCCCCAGGCCATATTCTTAAGTCTCTTTGATGGCCTGCTGATCTATGAGCTAATTCTTAGTAAATGTCAGTTGAAGACATGATTGAGTGACTCTAAAGCATCAAAAATAATGTTAAAAAGTGTTTTGACCAGTTAAAAAAAAATATGGATAACCACAAATTGGATGGGAATGGAAATGAGAGCAAGAAGAGAGGACCGGCCGAGTGGCACGTTGATTAAGAGCTGACTTGGGATGCCAGCTCTGAGCAGCAGGGCTGTGGTTTAGATCCCACATGGGGGCCAGTGATGCTGAGCCCTCTACAGCTAAGATGGTGAACAACAGCTCGGCCTGGAGCTGGGCTGCTGTAAGTCGCCGGCGACGGTGTAGGCTGCAGCCCCTGCTGCAGTGGGTTGCCATAAGCTACTATGTGTGGCCGGCAGTCAGTGTGAGCGGCTGGCAGCTGGTGTGAGCTGCCATCCAGAGGCCGGTGACCGATCTGCATCAGCCGGGAAGAGCGCAATGATAATACCAACATGGGCCAGTGAAGCAACATCCTCCACAACTAGACTGAAGAACAAAATGACAGTAACTTGTCTGTTTCCCTTCCCCCAATTCCCCAGTGCTGTTCCCCTCCCCCAATTCCCCAATAAAATCTTTAAAATAAAAACAAGAAGAGATAGGCTAGGGAAGGAAAGCTTAACAGAGAAAAAGGGAGTGATGGAGACTCATAAGCTCTGTGGTGTTACTCTTGTCACACCCTACTGCTGACTCCAGAGGCTGCCTACTGTGTGTACACTGTAGGTAAGAGCACTCTGATGTTCTTTGTGGCCTGCCCTTCCTCCAGGGGTTGGCATGTGACTTGGGCTGCACAATCACAGCATCATAGCCCCAAGGCCACGTGAACTGGTCAGAAGGTGGGCACATGAGTTGGTCCAATGAGACCGAGTCCCAGGGCTTTTGCTAGAGCAACCAGGAAAGAGGTATTCTCTTAGTACTGAGGTTTCTAAGAAGATAGGATGTACACTCACAGGTTAGATTACCTGTTAATTGCTATTTGCAGTTCACCTCTCCAGAGGTACTGCTCTCAGTGACCTAGCCATTGCGAGGCACAAGGAAGGGAACCACTCACTCTCTAATCCATCAGTAACCAGAATTTTACCCTGAGACCTAAATAAATCAAGTAAAACACAAAGTTTAGATTCCAATGTTGACTTACCCTGAAATCTTTTAGAAGAGTTTTCACGGCTGTCTCTTTAAAGTCAGAAGAACACCCCATTTTTAAGTTATAAATTCTTACCCAGACACAAAGTATGTAATATAAATGAGGCAGACACTGTCAGAGCCCCGCCCCCTCCATCTGCTCCCCTAGCCTCCCGCTGTGCCGTACAGGCCAGCAGTATCCTCCTTACTGTGAACATCCATGACTCGAACTTGAGGGCTTTTTCTCAGCAGTCCCTGATCTTAAGTGTCAGGTAGTCAGTCAATGACAGGGGAACTGATGGATAAACACCCCTGGCAGGAGAATTCTGGGGCATAAGCTACACTGTTGTAATAACCATGTTTCTTAATTTCTGTATTTGATGATTTGACATTTGGGGCCTTGCTGACCCTGGAGAAACTGTCCCTACCAGGAATGTCTACAGCCAATTCCTGGAAAAGTAAAGCACTCACCTACAGGCATGCTTTTCATATGGGAGCCAACAAGCCGGAGCCCATTGTCCAGCTGCCCCCTTTACACAGGGCCCTCCCACTCTGGGCCCCATCGCCCTGCTCGAATCACCGCAGCCAGGTACCGGACAACTAGGGACAGCCTTTATGCCCCAGAGTCTGCTGACATTATTCAAACGATCCAATCCTAAGCCAGCTTTGCCTGCTTCATCCACTCCTTCCCACGGAAACCACAATAAAGGCTCTTGTCCACATTTCCCCCTCACTCTGTCTGCCTTGTGACTGACCCTGGTGCTTCCCCAGGTACCCCCACTCCACCATGGCGTGGCATGCCCTTCCTCCTGGGATCTGTGAGTATAACAAGCTGTCTTTCCAATGGCAGTTCATCTGATCTGTTGATCTTGCCATGCCTGAATAAAATAAAACCTATATCTTGCAACCATTTTCTCCCACACTTCTCCAGTGAGTTTGTGCCCAAAACACTAATCTGCTCTGTATCATACCTTTTGTTAGCCTCCTTCCCTTAGCCTTTCTCATTTCCCCACACCCCAATTTGTGCTTCCTCCAGCGCTCTCCCAGGTAAACCGTTTGCACTAAAATCATCACAGAGTCAATGTCTGGAAGAACCCAACCTAAGGCGAGAACATAAACAGAGTTGCTCTGATGGAGGCAGGACCTCCTCCCCCTCCTCCACCTTCTCTGTGGTTCTAGTCCATCTTTATGGAACCCTAGGGTTCCGTAAAACACAGTCTGAGAACTACTTTCTTATAGTGGGACTAAAATCCAAATCAAATTTATCATTGTCCACCCAGCAATATTTTCAGAGGTAAAAAACTTACTTCTCAAGTTCGCAAGTTTTGAAATGTATTAACTTTTCCAGATGACAGCAAAATACCAACAAGAAATTAATACACCTAATGGAACTCTGTTTGATTAAAATTAAGTCTACCCGAGAGTCTAATTTACTTTTAAGGAGTTACTTGTATACCATGCCCACACTAATGGTCTGGTCAATTGAGATCCATGTGAAACAGCAGCCTTTAAGCTGTGCATCATAATGGAACATTGTCTTTGATGGAAAAGGAGACTGAAGTATACTCCAGTATCTAAGCACTCGCTCGAATTTATGGTTCTTGAAACGGCTTACACAATCTCACTATTGTGTTTCTAATACTTCCAAAACTAACCTACTTAAATGTCAATTACTAATCCTAGTATTTACTCCCCCACCACCCTTATTAGTAAATCTTTTCTAAATGGGCTAATTGGCAACCTCAGGACAGTTGTGAAGTCTCCTTTAAAAAAAAAAAAGATTTGTAATTAGGTCAAGGATGAGAGAATTCTTTCGGATCTCCTTAAAGTGTGAATCACTCAGAACAGATTCTGTTTCACAAGGCTGTGCTCCGTTCCTAAAGGAAGCCTCTAATTGCAGATAACTATAGGGTATGGTTTGTTATTACTAGGTTTAAGCTCATATTAGTCAGGATTCCTGTGGTTGCAAATGATGGAAATCCAGCACAAACTGGTTAAATAAAAAGGGAATTTATTGAACATAATTTAAAGGTCAAATCTTTCGGCATAGCTAGATCGAAGGGGTCATACAATGTCTCCCATATTTATCTTGTTCTCTTTTCACTCTTTGCTGGCTCCCTTTCAGGAAAGTTCTTATCTCATTGTGGCAAACCGGCTGCCAGTGCCTCTAGGCTTATCTCCTAGCTTCCTAGAAACCTCAATACCAAGAGAATACCTCTTTCCTGGGACTCAGTCTCATTGGACCAACTCATGTGCACACCTTCTGACCAGTCAATGTGGCCTTGGGGCTATGATGCTGTGATTGTGCAGCCTGAGTCACATGCCAGCCCCTGGAGGAAGGGTAGGCCACAAAGAACATCATAGTGTTCTTACCAAAAGGTTCTTAGGGTCCCAGGCAAGCAGAAAACACAGGTGCTCACTAAATAGTATTTATAAGCTCCTCATGGTGAGGTAGCAGGTCTATTAGTGTCTGTTTTACTCCTTGGGCTAATTGTAAGGGTAGTGCTTTGCCTTGGCAGTTCTAATGTGTATTCTGGACTAACGGGATGGGACTCATGCTGTGATTATGAAAAGACATCTGTACCTGCCAGGTCTCTAACTTCCCCGCATCATCACTGGGAATAAATAATGCACCCTTTTCACCTTCAATCCCTGAAAGGATAGACTCTTAGAACTGAGACATAAAATAGGTGGTATTTGAGGAGTTCTCTCAAGATAGATTCTCTGAAGTGCAAGTTATTTACAGAAAGAAACTTATCGTTGGATGAAGAGGAAGTCAGTGATTTTATCCTACCTCTGTCACTCTGTAGGATCATATGAAAGTCACCCATCCCCATTGGGCATTACTCCCCACTCAAAAGAGTTGCCTCTTGTGGAAAAATAAAAGTACAGCCACAACCATCATTTGTTGCTGTTTCTTACCCCCCCCCCCTCAAAAAAATTCCTCTGATGCCGAGTGAAACCAGGACAGTGCTGACAAATGTTTGCATTTCCAAGGCGGGGGGGCTGAGTGGAGCCCCTGACATGTTACCCCCTGGGCCTGAAATGCTCTGTGCCCAGATGGCCATGTGGCTGCCTCTAAATAGGTCTCAGCTGAAATGTCACTTCTCCAGAGTGGCCTTCCCTGACCATCCTTTCTGAAGTCGTTCCCATCCTTTTTATCCTCTGTCACATCGCCTTGATTTTCTTTTTTAAGCTGAGCCATCCTGCCACCGGTTGGCAGCTCAGTGGCAGCTCAGCTTGGGCCGGGAATCGAACCACTGTTGCTCAGAGCTCAAACTCTTGAGCGAGCTCTTAACCAACTGAGCCACTCGGCCGGCCCTTCTTCTTTTTCTTACTAGCACTTACCACTCTGAAATTATCCTGTGGGTTGTCTGTCTGTCTCATTAGAATGTAAGCTCTGTCTTGCTTTCTATGGATCTTCATCACGTTCCACAGTGACTGGAACATAGTAGGCACTCAGTAAATATTGGATGGATGGATGGATGGATGGATGGATGGATGGATGAATGAATGGATGAAAGGACAGATGGACAAGCCCCCAAATTGCCTCTTGGTTTATGGCTCCTTAGCCTATAAGGGAATCCACTGGTGAAGGTAGAAAAGAAAACCTGTCAACAGTGTTAGTATTATACTAAGCATCCCATTAGCCACAGGGCTTATTAACAAATCATGGAACCCTTGGTGTGGATTCAGAAAGATTAAAAGGAACAGAGGCTGCTGAGTCAACAGTCAACAAAAGCAAGTTTGTTCTTCCAGTGCTAGCTGTTTTAGAGGGTCAAGGGAACGCCCCTGGCCTTGCCATCAGCAGGATTTTAGATGAGCTTGCAGCGCTGCAATTGATTGTAGTTACCATATGAAAGAGCATTTACAATTCAGCCAAATGGTTACAGCATCTGGGGGGGGAAAATCTTTATTCCACTATTTCTATGGCCCCTGATGGCTGAGGGACAAATAGCATCAATTCTGAGATTTGCGAGGCGCGAGGCAAATCCAACCAAACCCTTCATTGGTTGCCGGTAGTTTGGATCAGTGGAGAATTCCATCTGTCAGGGCATTTGCTGCATCATAACAGTTGTTGAATTTTTTTTAGGCAACAGACGAAAAACTCTGTCTACCGAAGCCGGCAGTCCCTGAATAGCCCGAGTCCGGGGGAAACAGAGATGGACCTTCTGGTGACTCGCGAGCGACCCCGGCGTGGAATCCGTAACAGCGGATATGATGTAAGTCTCTACTGGGCCACGGTGAATACAAGCTTTGCTTTCCCTGAAAGCAAAAGGAATTGAGCATCCCATGTGTTTCTGTTTACTCTATATTTGTGCAATTTAAAAATGCAGTAAGATATTTTGTTTTCTATTCCTTATTGCCTATTTTGCAAAGTAAGGCTACCTGGAATTGCCAGAGTAACAAACTATTGCTAAAAGGATCTTGATTTCTAAATTTGACAATTTTATGAATAGTACATTATTGACCTTTAAACTCAACAGCTATTCTAAATGTCCTTAATTTTTTCTCCCTCCGTTCTTAGGAACTCAGTAGAAACCATGGCCATGGGTTAGAATTCATTTGAACACAAGCTTCTTTTAATTCATAGCAATGTTTAGGAGTTGGATTTGTTCCTGATTTCATAACTCCTCAATATGCCATGGAAACAATGAGATGTCCAACAGAGCAATTTGGTGATTTCATATGATGAAGCACTGCTTATGTTCAGTGATGTCTCCAAACTGCAAAAATTCTTTTAAATCCATCAAACTTCCCCAGATGATGGGTTGCAGGTTGGTGCCTCCTATCAAATTGTTTACGTGTCGATGCACCCGTGAGTTGCACCCCTGTGAATGATACTCTGCTGAGATATTCAGTAAGCTTCACCCTACCCCAGAATTTCAAATGGACATAAATATACTCTTAGGTCTTATGAAAAATGCTTCTTTCCCATTCTCCTAAAACGTTTCTCTTATTACAAATAAAAAATGTTCTGTAACAAGAGCTATGATTCAAATATGTCTGGGTAAAATTTTAGTATAATTTGTGAGGTTGTAATTTGAAAATGACACTTGATTTCTTAAATACACCATGCTAATTTACAGGCAAGGAGATTCCCCCCCCCCCCCCCCCCCGTCAAGATTGGTCATTGTTTTCCACAAAAGCTTAAAATAGGGTTTTTTAAATGGTCCAATTAAAAACAGAGATATTCTACCTAATTTGAATTTCTAATTACCTTCCTTAAATTTAAACTTAATGGTTGTGTTGGTGATGGTACCCTTATCTTTCTCTTTTTCTTTTTTTTTTCCTCATATAAGACAGTTTGATAGTTTAGTTTTGTAAAATTCTAGATGCTTTGAGCAAATCGTTGTCTCCAAATTAAATTATTCAACATTGGTTTTTCTCCTCATGAAACTATTTCTTATACCAAACTCGGTCATCAATTTGATAATCAGCCTGTGGTTAAATATTGGGCATTCGAGTTTTCCAATTAATCCCTCCCTACCAACAGTGAATATTGTTCCCGGATGCTTGTAGTTGAGGGAGCGTTTTCTTCTGCTTGGGCACACCTGAGGTATGATAGGACTCTTAATTAATTTCAAGATTAGTATTTATAGGTTTCTGGTGAGGTTCTAGGCACAGACATTTTTACAATTTGAGGAACTAGGCCAGAGGTTTCCTATTAGTCTTGAAAAGAGAACATTTCAGATTTTTTTTAACCACGTACCATGACTTACAGTACTCAATGCTCTTGGAATGTCGTGTTAGTAAATTACCTAGAACAAAAGAAGAAGAAAGATGATTTTTAAAGAAGGTTGCTCACCCCTCACAAACATGTAAATATTCCACTCATATATTACTTTAAGGCAGCACTAATAGATTTTTTTTAATACACATTTCTTTGAGGTGTGCATGGTATCTCAGAATCATAAGCAAATAAAAGTTTCCTTAAGAGAAAGTGGTCATCTTGGGAATGATTTTAAGAATTTTGACTTTTGACTGTAAGAGTGAAATTGCTTCCTATATTTCCTCCTATGTTTTTGTTTGTTTGTTTGTTTGTTTGTTTTTAGCTGAGCCATCCTGCTACCTATTGGCAGCTCAGCGGCTGCTCAGCTCGGGCTGGACTCGAACCACTGTTGCTCAGAGCTCAATCTCTTGAGCGAGCTCTTAACCAACTGAGCCACTCGGCCGCCCCAACCCTCCTATGCTTTTTATTCTATCCTTATGAAAAGTAGCTATCGTTTACTGACTATACCCTATAGACCAAGTCCTATTCTAGCCTTTTCACATGTATTATTTAACTGAATTTGCACAGTCACCAGTCAAGAAGGTGCTCTCATTATGCCCATTGTCTAGATGGAAAAACCAAGGCACAGAGCGGTTACATAATTTGTCTGCCTACCTCTAGAGCCTGTTCTCTTAACCACCATGCAATATGGCTTCCATGTACACCCACTACACTATACATCTGTCCTCACATAACATAATATATAGTCTATATTTCTGAGTCTCTCGAAGAGGCTAGATGTCAAGTCTCACAAGAATTCTTTCATAGATAACTCACACAAGCAAAACATGGACCAGCAGATAAAGTATAAAAAGAGGAGAGTCATAGTTTTAAACAATGCATTCATCTTCTGAGCTCTTGCTTTTCCAAAAATGCCAAAGTGCTCTTGGCAAAAGAATCCATTAGCCCAGCAGTGAACAGGTCATTCAGTCGGAAACATTCAATCTTCCTACTGGGTCTGGGGAACTTGAAGCCAGGCCAAAATTTCCAGACCTTTCTGCCAGATAAGTAACACCAGGGGAGCCTGCTCCTTGACATGGTAGAAACAAAGCACTGGGAGATTGATTTAACTGTGGATTTTTCAAAAGTTGACTACTTTACAGTCCCAACAGAAAAGCCTACATGTAAAAATGAATGAATAAATAAATAAGCAAACAAAAACAGGTTCCACAAGCAAATCTTAGCCCCAGGAATGATGGCAGCCTGGATTGCTTCAAAATGTTTCCACAGAGCAGGAAGTATTAGGGCCTACAAAAGAGAGATGCTTAGATCCAAGGGGTTTGGGGATCACTGTGTTTTGCACAAGTTCTCAACTTCTTGGTCTTCTTCCTAACAGCTAAGGATGCAACACACTCCTGACAGTATTTATGGCTCATTTGGGTAATGATTTTCTAGGTAAAGGCCTCCCCTTTAGAAGAATACATGATTTTAGAAAGATGTCCAAAACTGGTCACTCTTAAAAGGCCAGACCAGATCATTAAATTAACTTTGGCATTAAAATTAATTCCAGTGCATAAAGTGGATAGATGAGATAATGTCAGCCTAATATTTAAAAGCAAAAGTATCTCTTTCAAAGTTTTTTTTTAATGTTATTTTCCAAGTGAAAATCATATAGGAAATGAAGCAGTGAAGAGAAGAAAACGGCCCAAACGTGAATTCTCAGACAGAATAAAAACCCAAGTGTGGATGATGAATCAGTCTTTGCTCCCAAAGGGAGAGTAATAATCAGATCATTTCCCAGAAATAAAAATGCACCTCCCAACCTTGATTTGTGTTTGGAGTTTAAAAACCTATGACAGGAATGGGGTCAGCTATGTACCTTGGCTATGAAGGAGACTCTGGAACAGATTGTCTGAATTATAACTTTGAAAGCAAATGCTGACCTCTCAGAAGTAGAGACCTTGGCAAGCCACTTTCCTTAGGCTTCTCTCCAGCTCTTTGTCCAAGGTCCCATACCCTGGAGGTACTTAGAGAGCATTCACGGCAGACTGTCGGGTTCAGAATCTAAAATGTGGGCAGTGGGTTGAAAATGTGAAGAAGGATGATTGGTCCATCGATGCATCTCAGAGGCGATACTGAAGGCTCTGCTCTAGCAATCACAACCATCAGTTCTCATTCTAGAGACCTTCTTCGGGGAAATGGTTTCAAAGGTTAGTGAAAACCAGATGATTTTATAACTGAAAAGTATATATACATCTACCAAAAAGGGTACTACATCAGGCAAGGTTGAGCTGCAGAAAACGTCACGCCATTTAAACAGACAAAAAAATGACGGTGAGGAGTTACGTGCTCCCAACAACATTGGAGGGCTGGAGGGATGTCCCACGAAAGACTGAACAAAACCACAGGGCTGGCCCTGAGGAGGGGCTGGTGCCTCTCCTCAAGAAGGTGGGGAAGTGGGCTGTCCTGGAACCCACTAGGAGCCTCATGTCCTCTGTCCAAACTACACACTAGTGCATCTAATAGACAGAACCTAGTATTTCTGCCACAGCCGCCGCCTCGTGGAGGGCCTGAAGTGTAGGTTACCCAGTTGGCCTCAGCACTACAGGAGTACATGCTGCAAAGCCGTTCCCAAATGCCGGTCCACCATCCCCACCACAGGCACCAGAGATAAGCAAGATGAGAGGAGAATTGCCGGGCAGAGAAGTATTTGGGAAGCAGTTGAGAAAACTAGTGGAGGAAATATAGCAAAGGGGAAGATGGAAGTGTCGCTCAGAGCTCGGCCCCCAGCCACCTGCTGAAGGCCCGGGTGCATTGTGTTGTGTGTGATGGGGTGTTTATCTTGCTGGCCTCTCTGGGTGGACTGTGCAGCCCGTTCCCTTTGTTCCAGGTGAGCAGTGGTTACTGGAAGGAGGCCAAAGAATCTAAACAGTGTTTTGATGGGTTCCATTTGCAGGGGAATGAAAAATGATCCAGAAAGCCCTTGACTGCCTGCAATCGCTTATAGCAAGTCAGGGCCTTCTAGATAAATCTGAAAATCTGGTTATTAATGGGAGTCACTGCTGCTCACCCACTGCCACCCCTCCTCCAGCATATCACAGCCTCAGCATGATAGCTGGAGACCAAGGCAAAGCACAGGAGTGTCCTGACACTGTGTGATGTTCCTAGTTAAGGGTACAACCAACTTTTGGTTTCATTAAGAAGCACGTGGTTGGATTTGGGGATTTTGACCTTCACCTCAACCTGCTTGCTGCCCTCAGAACTAGGTGCTCTTATGTTGACCCCGCTGCTACCACCAACCATCCCATTAGCATTCCCCCTAGAGCTATCTTCCATGCTCTCCCATCCAGCTTTTAGTTTCTTTATCCCACCTCTGCCTGCAAGTTTAAATGATTAATAACCCTGGCGTGGTCTGTCACCTCAAGTTCATTTATAGCACATTGTATTTTAGCAGGGGCTTTTAAGCCAATGAAAATATCTGATCACCTGGAATCCGGCTACCTCGGTGAG